AGCGCAATGATTGAAATTTCTTTGGAGATCCAATTCTTTTAGACTTCTAACACCACTTCTTCAGAATAGACTCACCCAGGCCGTGGTATTTTGTGGAAGAGCCACACTCAAGAGACCAAAGAGCCACATGTGGCCCCAGAGTCCAGTTTGCCGACCATGGGGCATAATGGTTACAGTTTACAGCACCTGCTGGGGGTTTGCAAAGGGCTGGTGCCTCTGATATCTGCAGTGAGGTTGTCAAACTTCCCATCACAACCGGCAGCTCCTGGATGGAGAGGACGGGCCACGTTTCCAGGTGAGCTCCCAGGTCCGCCTGCACCTCCCAGCCAGGTGAGAATGTGCCTTTGATCAGTACAGCACAATCACGGCTAATGGAGCATAATTCACATTGCTTATCCTAATAGCTGGGCCCCCACATTTTATTTCCGCTCCTGACTGACCATACACAATCCACGTAAGCTGCTGACCCCATGCACCTGTATGGGCCGAAGATAACACATCCCAGGAGGAATGGGTGCATGCTGTGGCCGGGTCAGAATCTGCGGCCATTTGGGTCTGAGACCATAGGGAATAACAAGTCCTCGTGTTTGCCTCAGGACCGGTCTGAGCTTCACGGAGTCTGGAATAATGTCTCCAAATTCGTGGCCTGTTGCAGACAAAACTCTCCTTAAATGAGGGAACCGCCACCAGAAACTGAAGTCTCCCTGAGCTCAAACACCTTTAAAAAAAAAAAAAAAGAACCCACATATTTTATGGATTTTTATACAGAGAGGAAGGGAGAGGGACATCCATCAGTTGCCTCCTGCACACCCCCACTGGGGATGTGCCTTCAACCAAGGTACATGCCCTTGACCGGAATCGAATCCGGGACCCTTCAGTTCGAAGCAGCAGGTTAGGACCAAACACCTTTTAAAAAAAAAAAAAAAAAAAAAAAAAACATAGTTCATCCTTTTTTCTTTTTTTCCTATATTTCATTGAGTTTTTACAGAGAGGAAGGAAAGGAATAGAAAGTTAGAAACATTGATCAGCTGCCTCTTGCACACCCACTACTGGGAATGTGCCCGCAACCCAGGTACATGCCCTTGACCGAAATCGAACCCGGGACCCTTGAGTCCGGTTCGCAGGCTGACGCTCTATCCATTGAGCAAAACGGTGTTCCGCCAAACCCCTTCTTAATATGATAGTCCGGGACTGTGGCTCTATCGCCTCCTAGGCGGCTGAGGGAACTACAATACCCAGAATGCAACACGCACAACAGAAGCAGCGCCGAGCCAATGAGCGGCTAGGACAGGGGCGTCTTCGGGCGTGCATACCGGGCGAGGGCGGGACTTCCGGCGGCCTCCTCCAGGCGGTCGTTTTGATCTCCGGTCTGTTAGCGGGTCAGTGTCTGTGGGGCACGGAGGGAGGGGGATCCCCGCTGTGCGGGGCGGGTCCGAGGCGGGAGGTGACGGGGGCGGGAGGGGGGTCGCTGTCCCGGACGGAGCCTCGGGGCTCCGCGGAGTCCGACGGCGGCGTCCGCGCCGAGGCGGCGGCTGAGGTGAGTGCCGCCCGCGGGGGGCTCCGTCCCCTCCCGCGGCCCCGGCTCCGGCCCCGGGTGCGGGGCGCTGAGGCGCTACCGGGGGAACCCCCGGGACCCCCCTGGACCTCCCGCCGGGACCCCCCCTGGGCCGCCCCCCGGGACCCCCTGGGCCGCCCCCCGGGACCCCCCTGGGCCGCCCCCCAGGGTCCCCCCTGGACCGCCCCCCGGGACCCCCCTGGACCGCCCGCCGGGACCCCCCCTGGACCGCCCGCCGGGACCCCCTGGGCCGCCCCCCGGGACCCCCCTGGGCCGCCCCCCAGGGTCCCCCCTGGACCGCCCCCCGGGACCCCCCTGGACCGCCCGCCGGGACCCCCTGGACCGCCCGCCGGGACCCCCTGGGCCGCCCCCCTGGACCCCCCTGGACCGCCCCCCGGGACCCCCCTTCGGCCGCCCGCGGGGACCCCCCTTCGGCCGCCCGCCGGGACCCCCTGGGGCGCCCCCTGGGGTCCCCCCTGGACCGCCCCCCGGGGTCCCCCCTGGGCCGCCCCCCGGGACCCCCCTGGGCCGCCCGCCGGGACGGGGCGGCAGAGGGCGGCTGGCGGGGGGTCCGCGGAGCCGGGGGTAGGGGTGCGGGTGGTGGTGGGGGGAGGTTTCTGGAATCGGAGGCGGCGGAGCTCGGGGACAGCATACCTCCCTCCTCCTCCTCCCCCTCCCCCCCTTCCCTCCTCCTCCTTAAAAAGCATCCAAGAAGTCCTGGCCGCTGTGGTTCAGTGGTTAGAGCGTCAGGGCCTCCAGACCCACAGGTCACAGGTTCCCCAGTCCCAGGTGGGGGCGCCTGTGGGAGGCCACCAGCCCACGTGTCTCTCTCTGTCCCTGGATGTTTTTCTCTCTCTGTACCTCCCCTCCCCTCCCCATTCACTCTCACTCCCTGCAAATATCAACGGAACAGATACCCTCCGCTGAGGGTTTTTTTGTTTTGTTTTGTTTTTAAGCATCAGGCTAGGTGAGGGGAAGTTCTCCGTGGTGTTTTTACTTTTATTCTGAGGACGCTGGGGCCGTGGGAAATGTTGGAGGGATGTGAACAGAAGAGGGACATAGTGTGAGGCAGGGCCCTAAAGGTGTCCCAAACCTGCCCAGAGGGAGAAGGGGCCGGAAGGAGGAGTCCTGTAGGGTCGGCAAACTCCGTAGTCCACAGAGCCAGATATCAACAGCACAACGGTTGAAATGTCTTTGGAGAGCCAAACTTTTTAACTTAAACTTCTTCTAACGCCACTTCTTCAACATAGACTCGCCCAGGCCGTGGTGTTTTGTGGAAGAGCCACACTCAAGGGGCCAGAGAGCCGCTTGGGGCTCGCAAGCCGCAGTTTGCCAACCAGGGCTGTAGGAGATAAGGTAACTGGTAGGTAGGTCCCCCGGCCCCGGGGCTGGGCCGGGCCCCGAGCAGCCTGATCCCCGGGTCCTGGCGGCGGAGCCGGGCCCTCAGCACCTTCAGCTCACACAGGCCCTGTGGTCAGAGCCGCTCAGGGGCCAGGCTGTGGTGCTGATGTCTGTGGGGCCTCGGACTTTTAGGGTTTCGTCGGAGATAGGGGTGCCCTGGGGCTGTCCAGCCCCTCCTCCTGCCCTGGGCCCCGGGGACCTTGGACAGGCACCAAGCAAAGGATCTGAAGTCCAGGCCTAAGGTGGCACGAAGTGGTTTCAGTTTGTGGCAATGTGAGGGTGAGAGCTGGGCCGTCCGTCCTCAGGCACGGCGCTGGAGTGGCTTGGAGGGGAGGCATCCTTTCCCGCCATGGCGCCCGGAGTGGCCTGAATGGGAGGCGTCCCAGAATGCAGTGGCCTGGAGGGGAGGCCGAGCTGGTCCAGGCACCCCTCGGTGTCCTTTCCTTCCCATGGGAACGGGGACAGGGGACTGGAGGCAGGTCCTGAGCAGCTCTGTGACAGTTTGGTGTCTGTCTGCAGGTGACGGGCCATGGGAGACTGGCAGCCGTGGAGGCCGGGGGTCTGACCCAGGCCTGTGAGGCTCCCGGTGGCTGCAGCATGGAGAGCAGTGTGGCCGTGACCCGGGAGAGGCTGCTGTAGTCGGGGTGAGTGTGATGGTACTTGAGCCCTGATGGTGGCCGTGGAGGTGGGAAACAGTTGGATTCTGGATCTGTGTTTTAGGTGTGGCCACCTGTATTTTCTTTTCTTTTTCTTTCTTTTTTTTCTTTTTTCTTTTTTTTAATATATTTTATTGATTTTTTGCAGAGAGGACGAGAGGGATAGAGAGTTAGAAATATCGATGAGAGAGAAACATCGATTACCTGCCTCTTGCACACCCCCCACTGGGGATGAGCCCACAATCAACGTATATGCCCCTGATGGGAATTGAACCCGGGACCCTTCAATTCGTAGGCTGACGCTCTTTCCACTGAGCCAAACGGGTTTCGGCTTCTTTTTTTTTTAAATTTAATTTTTATTGATTGATTTAGAGAGAGAGAGAGAGAGAGAGAGAGAGAAATATTAATCTGTTCTACTTATTGACCATTCATTGGATGATTCTTGTATGTGCCCTGACCTGGGATTAGACTAAAACCTTGACATATCAGGATGATGCTCTAACCAACGGAGCTGCCTGGCCAGGGACCCCCCCCCCCCCCTTTATAGTATATATTTTTTTAAAAATATATTTTTATTGATTTCAGAGAGGAAGGAAGAGGGAGAGAGAAACAGAAACATCAGTGATGAGAATCATTGATTGGCTGACACCTGCACACCCCCGGTGTAACCCAGGCATGTGCCCTTGATCGGAATCGAACCAGGGACCCTTCAGTCTACAAGCTGATGCTCTATCCACTGAGCCAAACCAGCTAGGGCTACATTTTCCTTTTTCTTTTAAAAAAAATATATTATATTGATTTTTTACAGAGAGGAAAGGAGAGGGATAAGAGAGTTAGAAACATCGATTCAATTGCTTCTTGCACACTCCCTACTGGGGATGTGCCCGTAACCAAGGCACTTGGGACCCTTCAGTCCACAGGCCGATGTTCTATCCACTGAGCCACACTGGTCAGGGTTACATTTTCCTCTTTCAACTTTGACAGAGAGAGGTAGGAATCAAGGATGCCTTGAAATTTAGGTTTTATGCTGAAACTGGTTTGGCTCAGTGGATAGAGCATTGGTCTGCGGACTGAAAGGTCCCAGGTTCGATTCCGGTCAGGGGCAGGTACATTGGTTGTAGGCACATCCCTGGTGGGGGGTGTGCAGGAGGCAGCTGACCGATGTTTCTCTCTCATCGATGTTTCTAGCTCTCCCTTCCTCTCTGTGAAAAGTCAATAAAATATATTAAAAAAAAATAAAATCAATAGGAGTATAGCACTAAGGTCAGGTATGTTTTCTGATGTGGGCAGTAGAGGGAGCAGATGCATGTGGAGATGGGGGTTGGGGGTATGACAAACTTGGAATCCTAGGAGACAAACTGTGGAGTAAACTGTCTCTGTTACCACAGGAGATGGACTTTGAGGACGTGGCCATCGCCTTCTCCCAGGAGGAGTGGGGGCTCCTCGATGAGGCTCAGAGACTTCTGTACTGCGAGGTGATGCTGGAAATCTTTGGACTTGTAGCATCTCTTGGTAAGACCTTCATGTTCTCCCAGTGTCCTGAGGTGATGTGTCCTGTGTCCCCCCTCACCCCGCCTCCCTCAGGTATCGTCCTTCTCACAGCCAGACCGTGTGTTACTTTCCCCCACATTTTTGTCCTACGGGCAGCGGGTGCCAGTGCAGAGCTGTATGGAAAGCCCTGAGCAAGGCGCACTGGGGCATCCCTCACAACAGATGCCTTAGAAAGAACAGGAAATGCTGGGACTCAGGGTCTTGCAGACAGCTTAGTGGGTCCCACTTGTTTGCCCTCACCTTTGCAGGGTGACTCTGTCTGATTCATGGCCTCTAACTCTGCCCCTTTCCTCTGGCTGATTGTTCTTTGTGAGCACCTGTGCCAACTCATGGTTTTTATTCCATAAACCATGGGCTGTTCTGTTTTGTTTTGTTTTCTTAAAAAAAAAAAAAAAATATATATATATATATATATATATATATATGTATATATATATACATATATATATACATATATATATTCTCTATTTTGTTTAGTGTGTATACACACACACACACACATTTTAGAGAGGAAGGGAGAGAGAGAGAGAAACATCCATGATGAGAGAGAATCATTGATTGGCTGCATCCTGCAACCCCTACTGTAACCTGGCATGTGTCCTGACTGGGTATCGAACCGTGAGCTCCTGGTTCATAGATAGATGCTCAACCACTGAGCACTGCCGGCTGGGCAGAGCTGTTCTTTTTTTAAAAAAACATTTTTTTTTTATTGATTTCAGAGAGGAACATCACTGATGAGAAAAAATCACGGTTGCCTCCTCTATGTCCCCCACTAGAGTTTGAGCCCACAACCCAGGCATGTGCCCTGAGCGGGAGACGAACCTGGGACTCTTCAGTCTGGAAGCCGATGCTCTACCCATAGATAGAGGCCAACCAGCTAGGGCTGGGCCTTTCTTTTAATACCCTCCTTCAGTTGTTGCTTGTAATATTTTGTTCCCTGAATACTGTTTTGTGCTGCTCACCACTGTGGTCTTCCATGTACAATACCAAGTTCAGAAAAGAACCCTGTTTTTTCCCCACACGGTAGTCATGGTAAGATGGTCTCAGAGGAGACCTCGCCCTGTGAATGGCAACTGGGAGATGCCAGGACATAGAGGCTGTGTTCATTTTATATCAGGAACAGGTCGTGTGTCCAATAGTGTTTCTTGTATTTGTCACTAACCACACCCATTTCTACCTTCTCTTTCCCATACGTGACCCTTTGCTGATTTCTTGTTTTATCTGTGATTTCCTGGCCCCTAACTGCCTTGCCCTGTGTGGCCTTCTTACATCCCCTGTTCCTCTGCACTGCTCTCTCTACAGCAGCGGTTGCCAACCTTTCGGACTACACCCCTGGTTGGTGACCGCTGCTCTACAGAACATTCTGGCATTGACCTGCACGTGTGTTATGAGGTGCACATGCATCCTTCAGCAGTGCTTGGACACGGGCTCCTCATTTTTTGAATTTTACTTTGAGAAAAACATAACCAACTCTCTGCACAGCTGGCCCATGTCACCGACAGACAAGCCCGCTAAACGCTGCTAGCAGACGAATGAGCGTTTTATTTTCAAGGTTTCTTCCTGCTCCTCTTCAGTGTGCTGCACGCCACCTCTGTGTCCTCTTCCTGGGGAGGTCTCCTCTGCTCTGTGATCTTCAGAGGCCCAGCACTGCACACAGTTCATTGTTCAACCTGCCTCAGGGCTCTTATTTTACTTACTTAAAAAAATATATATATAAATATATATATTTCTAACTCTCCATCTCTCTACCTTCCTCTCTGTAAGAAAATAAAATGTATTTTTAAAAAATTAAAAAATATATATATATTATTGATTTCAGAGAGGAAGGGAAAGGGAGAGAGATAGAAACATCAATGATAAGAGAGAATCATGGATCAGCTGCCTGCTGCACACCCCCTACTGGGGATCAGGTTTGCAACCTGGGCATGTGTCCTTGACCGGAATGGAACCCGGGACCCTTCAGTCTGCAGACCGATGCTCTATCCACTGAACCAATTCACCAGGGCCAGGTCTCTTATTTTAGACAGTCCCATAAAACCATTGTATCATGTCTGACAATCCTTTGTCATGGGACTCCGCCCTCCCGATAAAGTCAACATCTATGTGCTCAGCATTTCTCTGCTTTCAGGTTGTTGGCATAAATTGGAAGCTAACGAGGCCCCTTCAGAGCAGTGTGTGTCTGTAGAAGGCAAGTCACAGGTAAGAGCTTCCGAGACAGCTCCAGGAGCCCAGAGGACTGACCCCTGCGACCAGTGTGTCTCGGTGTTAAAAGATATTTTGCACCTGACTGAGTGCCAAGCAGTAAACCTTGAAAATAAAACGTTCTTCAGAAATGTCTCTGTGAGGGGCCCCAGCTTCAGTGCAGACTTTTTACAGAGGCATGCCAGTGGGGAGAAGCCCTGGAGAGGAAACGTGGACAAGGATTGGTCAGTGACCAGGGACAGCTTCTGTGTATCGGGAACGCCTTTCACAGGTCAGGATGTTGGGGCAGAATGTCCAGCCACCTCAGACCTTCTGCAGCTCCAGTCCGCTCTTACCACTGAGCGGCCACACGGTGGCAGGGAGAGTGGGCAGGCCACTCCCAGTGGAAAAAGTCAACATGCGTTGGGTGAATGTGAGAAGGCTGCTCTCCACAATCAGAACCTTGTCCAGCGGCAGAGGATCTGTTCTGGAGAAGGGCATCACGCGTGTAGCAAGTGCGGGAAGTTCCCTCAACACGGAAGGGTTCCCACGGGAGAAAAACCGGATGTGTACGGTGCCGGTGGGACGCGCTTTCACGGCGGAGACTTCCTCATCGCACCTCGGAGCGTTCCTACTGTAGAAAAGCGTTATGAGTGCAGTGATTGTGGGAAATGCCTCGGCTACAAAATTGACCTCATTAGACACCAGAGAATTCATACTGGTGAAAAGCCCTATCAATGCAGCGATTGTGGGAAGTCCTTCAGACAAAGCTGTGCCCTCATTCAGCACAAAAGAATTCATACCGGGGAAAAGCCATATGAGTGCGGTTATTGCGGGAAGTCCTTCCGACAAAGGACTAACTTCATTCTGCACAAAAGAGTGCACACTGGAGAAAGACCGTACGAATGTAACGAATGTGAGAAATCATTCACCCGCACCTACAACCTTCTTACACACCAGAGGATTCACACTGGAGAAAAGCCCTATGCGTGCAGCGATTGTGGGAAGTCCTTCAGAGAAAGCTCCACCCTCATTAAACACAAAAGGGTTCACACTGGAGAAAAACCTTACAAGTGCAATGAGTGTGGCAAGTCTTTTACACGCGCATCTAACCTCCTCAGGCACCAGAGACTTCACACTGAAGGAAAGCCTTAACTGCTGGGAAGGCTGTATGTCTTCACTCAGCATCACAACACTGGAGGAGACTCAGAGTTGTTTACCTTTCTGTTTGTGGGACAAACACTCTGCTAGATTCCCGATGAGTTAAGTTCAAGACAGGCTTTCAAGGGCTGCATTGTACTCTAACCTGCCTGGGCTATTACCAGATTGATCGATGTCACTGCCGGTTTTTGTGGCTGAAACCATTTCACCTCTCCCACCTGGCTCCTCTGGACAGTGTGCATCGGTCACACCTGCGTGCTCAGGGAAGATGACTTCCGTGTCCACTTTTGCCTGGGAAAATTACGAATACTCTGGACGAATTCCTCAATTCTTTCTCTCTGAATAGGGCCGTGGTTGGCAAACTGCGGCTTGCAAGCCACATGTGGCTCTTTGGCCCCTTGAGTGTGGCTCTTCCACAAAATACCACAGCCTGGGCAAGTCTATTTTGAAGAAGTGGCATTAGAATAAGTTTAAGTTTAAAAAAAGTTGGCACTCAAAAGAAATTTCAATCGTTGTATTGTTGATATTTGGCTCTGTTGACTAATATGTTTGCCGACCACTGTGCTAGGGAATGGATCTGAGGCCCTAGCCTCAGCAAAGGGCATGTTTTTCGTGAACATTTGTTCTCTCATTATGTTGTGGTGACTTTTTCCAGGTTATCATTCACCAACCTGGAAACAGCGCTGATTTATGATCATTTTGTGAATTTTGCTTTTGTACTTTTGTTGTTAATTCTCACTTGAGGATTAGAGAGAGTAGAAGGGAGAGGGAGAGACAGAGAATCATTGATGTAACATTCATTGATTGATTGCCTCTGAATGTGCTCCAACCCCGGCCAGGGACCCAGGCCATGGATCGAGCCTGCAATTGAGGTATGTACCCATGAGCAGAAGTGAACCTGGAACCCTTCAGTCTGCAGGTTGATGCTCCATCCACTGAGCCAAACTAGCTAGGACACTTATGTACTTTTTTTTTTTTAATGTATTGATGTTTTACAGAGAGGAAGGGAGAGGGATAGAGATTAGAAACATTGATCTGCTGCCTCCTGCACACTCCCTAATGGGTATGTGCTCGTAACCAAGGTACATGCCCTTGACAGGAATCGAACCTGGGACCCTTGAGTCCATAGGCTGATGCTCTATCCACTGAGCCAAACTGTTTAGGGCTGTACTTTTAATTTTCAAGCTTGTAGTTGCTGTGTGAAATGATTTGAAATAAGAATTGTGACCTGTCAGCATATAGAAGTGGACTTTTAATATATTTTATTGATTTTTTACAGGAGGGGAGAGGGATAAAGAGTTAAGAAACATTGATGAGAGAGAATCATCAATCAGCTGCCTCTTGCACACTCCCTACTAGGGATGTGCCCGCAACCAAGGTACATGCCCTTTACCCGAATCAAACCCGGGTCCTTTCAATCTGCAGGTTGACGCTATATCCACTGAGCCAAACTGGTTTCGGCAGAAGTGGACAGATTTTGCGGAGATGCCAAACTTTCTGTGTTGAGGTCCCGAGAATGTCCATATGCACAGGTTTCAGGAGAATGTGTGGATGAACATTCAGAAGTAGCAACTTCCATCTACCCAATACCTGCTACTTCATATCTGTCATTTTGCTACTGTTATGAATCCTAATGTAAATATTTGTGTTTTCCGATGGTCTTAAGTGACCCTGCCAGCGGTTCTCAACCTGTGGATTGTGACCCCTTTCACAGGGGTCACCTTAGGTCATCGGAAAACAGATCTTTATATTATGATTTATAACAGTAGCAAGATTACAGTTATGAAGTAGCAACGAAAATAGTTTTATGGTTGGGGGTCACCACCTGTATTAAAGGGTCATGGTGTTAGGATGGTTGAGAACCACTGCTGTAGACATTCACCATTCCTGTTGATTTTTTTTATATATATATATATATATATTTTGTTGATTTTTTACAGAGAGGAAGGGAGAGGGATACAGAGCTAGAAACATCGATCAGTTGCCTCCTGCACAGCCCCCACTGGGAATGTGCCCACAACCAAGGTACATGCCTTTGACCGGAATCAAACCCGGGACCTTTCAGTCCGCTGGCCGACGCTCTATCCACTGAGCCAAACCAGTTTCGGCCATTCCTGTTGATTTTCATGGCAGTCGTTTTCACTGCGTGCCAGTATTTGCTGCCCCTGAGGTAGGGTTGCCCCTTCCAGGTCTTGAGAGAGATGGCAGAGTCCATATAGGCTTCCCAACCTCATTTTCTAAGAAAAGAGGAACATCTAGGTTTTTAGTGAGAATCACTTTTTATTTTCTAAAATATATTTATACTAGAGACCTGGTGCACTACATTCGTGCACTGCTGGAGAGGGGTAGGAGGGGGGGTCCCTCAGCCTGGCCTGCACCCTTTTCCTGGAGCCTTTAAGGGATATCCCACTGCCAGCTACAGGGAGCTGGCCAAAGCTGCAGTTGGACATCCTTAGCACTGCCTGGAGGCAGGCCCCTAGCTCAAAAGTCATCAGCCTGACTTGTGCCTGAACTGGACTCCCCCTGTGGGAGCACACTGACCATTACGGGGGCAGCTCCTGCATTGAGCATCTGCCCCCTTGTGGTTAGTGCATGTCATAGTGACCTGTCATTTCCGCCTTTCGATCGATTTGCATATTACCCTTTTATTGTATAGGATTAATTTCAGAGGAAGGGAGAGGGTGAGATAGAAACAACATCAGTGATGAGGCATGTAGGAGGCAGCCAATCAATGATTCTCTCTCTTCATCGATGTTTCAATCTCTCCCTCTCCTTTCCTCGCTGAAATCTATAAAAATATATTTAAAAGAAAAAGAAAAGTGCTTCTTCTGAATGTTACCCACAAACGATCAAAGGTCTTGTGCGATCTTCATGTACGGGCGTTCTCAGGTCCTCCATCTCTGTTTCCTGTGGCTGAGGTAATTGGCAGAGGAAAGGATCTAATGGCCTTTTGGATTCCCCTGGTCCCTTAGGGTGTTCACCTCAAGGTGGTAGCTCAACAGGCAGGACCTCAGAGCTAGAGGGAGGATAACCCTGCAATCACTCTCTGGATGTGTCTTTTGTTACCAGTCAGCATTCCTGTTGATTTCAATGCCAATAGTCTTTCCTACTTGACAACATTTGCTGCCACCGAGGCCAGGCTGGTCTTCCCAGCAAATGGGAACTAACATGCAACAAAGTGCAATTTTTGTTTTTTAATCCTTACCCGAAGATATTTCTCCATTGGTTTTTAGAGATAGTCCAAGGGACAGTGAGAAATGGAGAGAAACATCAATGTGAGAGAAACACATCGAATGGTTGCCTCCTGCATGCACTTCAACTAGGGTTGGGGATCGAATCTGCAACGGAGGTACATGCCCGTAACCTGAAATTGAACCCATGATCTTTCTGTCCATGGGCCAACACTAACCACTAAGCAAAACCGGCCAGTGCTAAGGTGTGTACTCTTTTTTTTTTTTTAAATCAATCTTTATTGTTCATATTATTACAAAGGTTCCTCATTTCTTCCCCCCTCCACCAGGTTCCCACCCCACCCTCTGCCCCCTCCCCATCCCCCATTGTCCTCATCCATAGGTGCAGTTTATGTTCAGTCTCTTCTTCCCTCAATTTCCCCAATAGTAAATCCCTTTTCAGATAGTAAATCAGTTACTTAGCATTTTCTCATATCAATAATACCTCCACATGCCCAATGATACACTTCACACAAAAGACATTTCCCAATAGGTCCACCAGCCTCATCCAGGCCCCACCCAAGGCACTCACAGATCAACACCCCAGTCCTAAACTAACTCAACACATCCAGATCTAAGCCTTCATCACTTGATTCAGCAGACCCTCAAGTTTCCACGAAAGTTTCCAGCCATGTCTGAGAAGCAGCTGTGGGGCAGGGGCAGGCAAGGAGTGAGCTGTTCTGGGCCTGGCTGCTCAGGGCCTGGCCTCTGTTGCTCTGGTTCATTCCACAACCAGCTGCTCCGGGTCTGGTCACTGCCGCTCCCGACCTAGTTGCTCTGGACTTGGCTGCTGCTGCTCCAGGCCTGGCCGCTCCCAGCCTGGCAGCCGCTGCTCCGGGCCTGGCCACACCCGACCCGGCTGCTCCGGGCCTGGCCGCTCCCAGCCTGGCAGCCGCTGCTCCAGGCCTGGCCGCACCCGACCCGCCTGCTCCCCCGGGCCTGGCCGCTCCCAGCCTGGCAGCCGCTGCTCCAGGCCTGGCCGCACCCGACCCGCCTGCTCCCCCGGGCCTGGCCGCTCCCAGCCTGGCAGCCGCTGCTCCGGGCCTGGCCGCACCAGCCCCGCCTGCTCCCCCGGGCCTGGCCGCTCCCAGCCTGGCAGCCGCTGCTCCGGGCCTGGCCGCACCCAACCCGGCTGCTCCCCCGGGCCTGGCCGCTCCCAGCCTGGCAGCCGCTGCTCCGGGCCTGGCCGCAGCCGCTGCTCCGGGCCTGGCCGCACCAGCCCCGCCTGCTCCCCCGGGCCTGGCCGCTCCCAGCCTGGCAGCCGCTGCTCCGGGCCTGGCCGCACCAGCCCCGCCTGCTCCCCCGGGCCTGGCCGCTCCCAGCCTGGCAGCCGCTGCTCCGGGCCTGGCCGCAGCCGCTGCTCCGGGCCTGGCCGCACCAGCCCCGCCTGCTCCCCCGGGCCTGGCCGCTCCCAGCCTGGCAGCCGCTGCTCCGGGCCTGGCCGCACCAGCCCCGCCTGCTCCCCCGGGCCTGGCCGCTCCCAGCCTGGCAGCCCCTGCTCCGGGCCTGGCCGCACCAGCCCCGCCTGCTCCCCCGGGCCTGGCCGCTCCCAGCCTGGCAGCCGCTGCTCCGGGCCTGGCCGCACCAGCCCCGCCTGCTCCCCCGGGCCTGGCCGCTCCCAGCCTGGCAGCCGCTGCTCCGGGCCTGGCCGCAGCCGCTGCTCCGGGCCTGGCCGCACCAGCCCCGCCTGCTCCCCCGGGCCTGGCCGCTCCCAGCCTGGCAGCCGCTGCTCCGGGCCTGGCCGCACCAGCCCCGCCTGCTCCC